GCTGCCCAGGGCAGGGCTGGAGTCACCGTCCCTGCAAGTGTTCACAGCCCGTGGAGCCGAGGCCTCAGTGCCAGGGGTTGGTGGTGGCCTTGGCACTGCTGGGATAAAGGTTGGACTGGATGAGCTTAAAGAGCTTTCCAGGGTTAAATGTCAACAGTGGAAGCTGTCATTGCTGTTTAGCCTTACCTGATTTTTTCAAATCTCAGTTTCGTTGGTGAATGGTGTTCATACCCAAGCAGTGTGCTGCAGGAAGATAAACTGGTCCATAGGCTTTGAAGCTCCAGCTTGGAGAGAGAAAAAAGGAAAAGCAGGAAGCAAAGAAAAGCAGTGAGTGCTGTGCCACAGTGTGGGAACAGTCTTGAGATCAGCCTTCTAAAGCTGTTGAAAGCATAACCCAGAGCATGAGACTGATCATCACTACATCTGAGTTTACTCCAAGGATTGAAGATTCCTTCTTTCTGTTGCCAAGGAGTTTCAGGTCAGCTGTGGGAAGCTTGAGACTTTCTTCTTTAACTTGGAGCTTCGGTTTTTCCTTTTGTTTTTTTCCTTCTTTTCTGATGAAAGGAAATTTTAGTTCAGCAAATGTGACCTGAGCAAAATAATCATAGAATCACAGCGTGGTTTGGGTTGGAAAGGACCCCAACATCATCCAGTTCCAGCCCTCCTTCCACTAGAGCAGGTTGCTCCAAGCCCCTGTGTCCAGCCTGGCCTTGAACACTGCCAGGGATGGGGCAGCCACAGCTTCTCTGGGCACCCTGTGCCAGCGCCTCAGCACCCTCACAGGGAAGAGCTTCTGCCTTAGATCCAACCTGAACTTCCCCTGTTCCAGTTTGAACCCATCACCCCTTGTCCTGTCACTCCAGCCCCTGATGAAGGCCCCTCCCCAGCATCCTTGCTGCCCCCTTCAGACCCTGGAAGCTGCTCTGAGGTCTCCATGCAGCAAATTAAATGCTATTTGGATGCTCTTTTGGCTGATTTTCTTCTCTTTGGAAATAAATAACGTGGTTTTAATCAAAAATACATGTTAATCTATTTGTAAAATAAATGTTTTGGGAAACTCTTGCCTCAGTTCTGCAGAACTCTAGAGCATAGACTCTAATGTGCTACACATTACTCTGTGTTTGCAGGCAACCAATGCAGCGTATCCTACGAAGCCATTAAAGATGTGTAATTTAATAGCCCTTATTTTAAAACAAAACAATGTATTGAATTCTGATAGTGTGAAATGAGGTTTTCATGTCCTTTTGCCTCGGCTTCTCCTCACGTTAGTCATTTGTTTTCTGGTTGGCTGATTCTGCACACTGAAAGAGAAGCTTTTACTTCTGGGATTGAGTATTTGTTGTGCCCTGTTGGTTTTGTTTCATTAGGATTCTGTGATTTTAGATCTTTTTCTAGCAGGGTTGTGATTAATGGCTTTGGGTGCAGGCACATCTGAAACCTGAACAATCACGGCTTGCTTTTGATTTCCTTTTCAATCCCCATGTTTCCTCCTGTTGGTGCTCAAGGTCTGTTATCAGGCTGTTACCAGGAGGTAGTTTGAGTTTTACTGGGCATTCTTTTCCTAATCCAAGTGTGCAGCTCTCCTCATGGTGTTTCTGCAGCGTTTTCCCACTCCTGCTGCAGAATCCCTGTTGCCAGTGCTGCAGAGGCTGCCCTGGGGCAGGCAGTGCCCGAGCTGGAGCTGGCTGACCTCTGTTTTAAATGTCAGGGTGCTTCACCTTTGCCATTCACATTCCGTTTGCCTTTTTAACGTCTCCTTGGGACCCTGCTTGAAGCAACGCTTGTTTAGAGAAGCACTTGTGCAGCTTGTACTATCACACAAGTGGAGTCACTGGGTCGTACAGCTGTGTATTGATTGTCTTCTCCATCCCCTGTGTTATCAGCAAGGCTTGTGCTGTGTTTATAGGACCTGTGATGTGTCTCGTCTGAACTGGGTGGCAGTGGACAGTTTCTTGATAACCAAATGAATTCCTAGAGCCTTCAGAATCTCTGCCTGTAACATACAGAATCATGGAATCAACCAAGTAGGAAAATAGCTTCAGGATCACCCAGTCCAACCATTCCCAGCCCTGCCAAGGCCACCACTGACCCCTGGCACTGAGGCCTCGGCTCCACGGGCTGTGAACACTTGCAGGGACAGTGACTCCAGCCCTGCCCTGGGCAGCCTGTTCCAATGCCTGAGCACCCTCTGGGCAAGGAATTGTTCCTCAGCTCCAGCTAAACCTGCCCTGGGGCAGCTTGAGGCCGCTTCCTCTTGTGCCATCCCTTGTTCCTTGGGAGCAGAGACCAGCCCCCTCCTGGCTCCATCCTCCTGTCAGGCAGTTGCAGAGAGCGATCAGGTCCCCCCTGAGCCTTCTCTTCTCCACACTAAACCCCCAGGTCCCTCAGCCCTTCCCCATCACACTTGTGCTCCAGGCCCTGCTCCAGCTCCGATGCCCTTCTAACATGAGTCCTTACTTATGCCAACAGCATCTCTCAAAACAGCATCCTGTGGGTGAATCACTCCCTGTATGTCCTGTAAAAGGACACACTTCCATACTATTCTGTCACTGTTTTCCTTTGTCAACCTGGACTGGCCTTCTCTCACTGTCCCCCAGACCTTCCCCAAGCATGTCCAGGACAGCGCTGTGGGTATTACCATGACTGTCTCAATTCTAATCATCGTAGGTAATAGTAAAGTTTCCCTGTTTTGTCCCATTGTTTCCTAGCCTCAATATTAGCTGAATAACTCGGAATCATAGAGTCACAGACGGGTTTGGGTTGAAGGGAGCTTAAAGCTCCTCCAGCTCCAACCCCTGCCCCGGGCAGGGACACCTTCCACTAGAGCAGGTTGCTCCAAGCCCCTGTGTCCAACCTGGCCTTGAACACTGCCAGGGATGGGGCAGCCACAGCCTCTCTGGGCACCCTGTGCCAGCGCCTCAGCACCCTCCCAGGGAAGAGCTTCTGCCTCAGAGCCCATCGCTGGTGTGTGTGTGTGTATGTGCAGTTTGCACACTTGGAAGTTCGTAGCTTTGACAGTGATGTGAGTGCAGAAAAATACTGATAATCATGGTCTCTGTCCTGCTGCAGAACATACTGTGTGCTGCATAGGAGTGGCTTTATCACACAGGGTTATAGTATTTCCTACTTTAAGGTAAGTACTTGAGTTAAGCCTTTCAGACATGTATAATCACCCCCTCAGCTGAATTATGCATGAGAGCAAATGTCTTCTCTATACATGGAAATGACAAACATTGCATTTATGGAAGAATCTAAGTGACTCTAAAATGGAGTGGGGTGTGGGTCACAGCAATTGCCTGATACTGTTCTCTTCAGGCAAGCTTTTTCCTTGTCAGGTGGCCATTCATTTTAGTCATGGGATTTAGATGATAAAGGTGTGGGATGACAACAGTGTTGTGTCCTGACTTGTGTAGTGTTCCTGTTCCTTTGCTGTACAAAGAACTCTCCTGTGCACATCAGGATCTCCCTGAGGTTGCCCTTGCACCTTGTCCAGCTTCCTGCCATGGTTGCTCTTGTCCTTACCCCTTTTTCTTGGCATCTGCTGACAGTTGCTGTTGGAGTGTTGGACTAACCAGAGTTTGGTCTGACCTGGTACAGCCTCTTTCAGCATGTCCCCACCATGATACCCACTGTACAAGCATCAGCACGGAGCTTTTGGCTGCCTTAAGCTAAGCAAGTGTAGGCAAAGAGGTGTAAGAGCCACTAACAACAATACCAGAAAGGGAAAATGTCTCTAAGGCTTCCATATGAACCGTGAGACTGTCAATATCTGATTTCTTCAGAAGGATAAATCCAAGGACTACTTTGGAGAACTCTTTGTTTAGTTGCTGTATCATGCACTGTGTGTAAAATGGGTTCTTTCTGAACTTAGAAGTAATTGGAAAGGTTTGGTTTAATTCTCTGGGGTTTACTGACAAAACTGTTGAGGTCCTCTTAAAGTTAAAAATCTTAAGTTTGGAGGGTTGTGAAGTGGCTGTTACAATGGCGAGTGTGATACTTACCTTCAGGAGTAGTAGTTACTACTATTTTTTCCCCAACCTCTTTATATCCAGTGTATATATCGAGCAGGGCAAATGTGTAAACTGTGAGAAGAGCCCAGCCATCTTTATTTGACAGCTCTGATCAGTAGGAGCTTTCTCTCTCTTTTACTCACCTTGCTAGCAATTGATGTAGCTTGGAAAGACAAGCTTTATCTCTGGTTTCACAATGTTGGCTTGCTTTTACTGTGCCTGTTGATAGACCTCTCCTGCAGCTGGGAAGGAAGGAAATGCTGCTTTGAAGTCAGGATTTTTGTCTAGCTTCCAGCAGCACCAACTGAACTAGTGGGACCTGCCCTGGGACAAACCTCTTCTTCAGAAGTGGGAAGTGCTCCCCACTTCCAGGTTTCAGGTAGCTGGAAGGTGTTTTAGCAACTGGGCAAACACAGCAGCTTATCAGTGCAGCAAGAGCTCTTGAATCTTTTATAAGTAAGGATGAGGCTGAGAACGTTGGGGCTGTTGAGCCTGGAGAAGAGAAGCTGCTGGAGACCTCAGAGCAGCTTCAGTGTCTGAAGGGGGCTACAAGGATGCTGGGGAGGGACCTTCATCAGGGACTGGAGTGACAGGACAAGGGGTGATGGGTTCAAACTGAAACAGGGGAAGTTCAGGTTAGATCTAAGGCAGAAGCTCTTCCCTGTGAGGGTGCTGAGGCGCTGGCACAGGGTGCCCAGAGAAGCTGTGGCTGCCCCATCCCTGGCAGTGTTCAAGGCCAGGTTGGACACAGGGGCTTGGAGCAACCTGCTCTAGTGGAAGGTGTCCCTGCCCGGGGCAGGGGTTGGATCTAGATGATCTTAAGTTCCTTTCCAACCAAAACTCTTCTATGATTCTATGATAGAAATGAGAGCTACGACGAAGGTGAGTTTGTGCAGACAAGCATTTTATAGCATAGGAATAACTCGCTGTGCAGCAGAACTAGGACTGATTTAACCCCACTGAGCATATGGTTCACATCCTCATTTCAAGAACTAAATGAAAACCTTCATCTTCTTTTCCAGAACCAAAAAACAAAAGAACAGATTGAAAGCTTGCTGCAGAATGGAAAGCACAAAGAGCTGCGGGATCGCCTCTGCTGCAGGCTGACCTTTGGGACTGCCGGGCTTCGCTCTGCCATGGGAGCTGGCTTCTGCTACATTAATGATCTTACAGTGATCCAGTCCACACAGGTAAGCTGAGTAGCTGTGTAGGAGAGGACTGAATGGTCTCACAGTGTTTGGGGCATGTAGTGCACTGCTGCAACACAAGCTGAGGGTGAAGCACAGCAGGCATTCAGTAGAAGAGCGATAGCACCAAGTGATTAGTGCTGAAAGAAGAGGGCTTCAACAGGTTTAACTGGGCACATGAGGCAGAATATAATCACTTCCACTGGGATTTGGCCACTAGAATGGCCAGTTATATTTTTTTTTATAGCCTATTATACTCCTTTGTAGTTGGAAATGAGTGGCTGTCGTAAGAACTTTTGAGTATTTGTCAAAAACTAAACAAAAACGCATCAACCCAAAAGCAAACCCAGCCCCAAGTAAACAAGCCTTTTCTTTCCTTTTTAACCAAAGCTATTTATATGAAAAAAATCAGGTTTTACCATGAAAATGGGCAGGAAGCAAGATGAAAAAGCAAATGTAGACTCACTGTGAAGAATGTCTGTATTGTAAGTTGTTTAACTTCCAGGGAATTCTCCCAGTTTACATGGGTTGTGTTACAACTGGATGGGGGAGTTGTAAATCCTGGGGTTAAGTGCAGTGCCATCACTGTAGTGCTGTCTGTGGCTCTGTGCACTTCTTAAAGTAGAGATGCAAGAAAGTAATTTGAGATAGGAATTTAAACTCTCCAACAGCAAATCTTACGTTACATATTGTATCAGAGAGAGCTGGTTCATGTTTATCTGTGACTTTAACATCTGGGTATGTGGGTTAGAGACATCAGCATAGAATTATTTGCTAAGGAAAGCATTGTAAATGGATGTTGATATCTTTGAGGACTAGTTCTTTGAAGTTTGGAGTAGAGTATTATGGGATGGACTTCCTGATTTGAATACAGACAGGGAGATCTTGGAACTTAGGTGTGGCTCTTGACTGTCATTTCCACAGTCATCTGTTAGTGGTGTTGGAAAGGTTCCATGGGATGAGTGTGGGTGAAAGCTTTGGCCAGAGAGACTTTAGTCCCAGTTTCCTCTGCTAGAGAGTAGGCTCTGCTTGGTGGTGGTGCTGGATGTACATATAGAAGGACATGAAAGCTGGTAGGGGGAACTTGAGGAGCTGGAGTGAGGCTGCCATGGGGTCATGAGCGGTACCAGTGCTGTGATGGGGGACACTGGTGGCAGAGACTCCTTGCTTCTGACACATCTTTCCCTTAAACCATGTTGTAGGTTCTTTTGATTGGTTTAAGTTGATGAACAACCAGAAATACAGTATTCTGGACTTGTTTCTTCAATATCTTCTACCCTCATTGTTTTCCTCTCTTGATTTTGGTCTTGCATGCCGGAAGAGGGCTGGAAAATGATCCGACCCTTCTCCATTTCCCTCCCTGCTTCTCTTTCAAGCAATGTTCATGACTGTTATGTGGGTTGATGGTCTGAATGTATCAACCTATTGATTAATATAAGGCTTCATGGTCTTTGCTTTTCTTTGAAGCACTGTTCTGTCCAAGGGCAGATGATAGATTCTTCCTCAAAGGTCCCCAGTTGTCTCATTTCCTTCCCCACCTTTTCAGTAAACAGTTTGGAAGCAACACATGATTTTGATACAGGTTTTGATCAAAAATGGTCCGTGCTCCTTTTCTATATTGCTGTCTCATAGTGGATGTGTTCTTACGTTTGCTTGTTAGACAGTACCAGCCTGTTCTCAGTTGATGTGCTCCTCTATCAGTTTTTCCCAGAACAAGTAGATTAAATACTCTAAACTTTTTCAGAAATAAATTCAGAGTACATTTATAATTGATGTGATATTATCCAGACCCTGAGCCTTTGAAAGAAGAGTCTGAATTTGAACATTGGTTTATCTAGGGTTGTAGTTCTGTTAAACTATCATTCCTGACTGTGACAGGCATTCTGGCACATACTTTATTCTGGTAAATATTAGGCAAAAAGCATTCAGATTCTAAATCTGCAAAATACAGCTTTGTCTCACCCCAGTGAAGGTAGTGGGAGACACAGACAAGTGTTGAAGCCTTTTGAACACGAATGGCATGAGTCAGAAAATGGATGTGCTGTAGTTCCTTTCCTTATGAGCATATAAAAAACAAATGGCTTTGTATTGTGTGTATGAAATATAGTTAAACATATCTGTGCCCACCTTTAGTGTTCATAGAATCATGGAATGGTTTGGATTGCAAGGGACCTTAAAGTGCCTCAGCACCCTTACAGGGAAGAGCTTCTGCCTCAGAGCTCATCTCAATCTCCCCTCTGGCAGGTTCAAGCCATTTCCCTTGTCCTGTCCCTCCATCCCTTGTCCAAAGCCCCTCTCCAGGTCTCCTGGAGCCCCTTTAGGCCCTGGAGCTGCTCTAAGGTGTCCCCTTGAGGAGCCTTCTCTTCTCCAGCTGCCCCAGCCCAGCTCTCTCAGCCTGGCTCCAGAGCAGAGCTGCTCCAGCCCTCGCAGCAGCTCCGGGGCCTCCTCTGGCCTCGCTCCAGCAGCTCCACATCCCTCTTGTGCTGTTGCCCCAGAACTGGATCAGGACTCGGGGGGTCTCCCCAGAGCAGAGCAGAGGGGCAGGATCCCCTAGACGGGCTGCTGCTCGCACTCCTTTTGCTGCAGCCATGCAGAAGAGTATCTTGATAACACAGAGGAAGTAAATGAGTCACTTGTTGGCCTGTGGAGGCTGAAGCTGGAGTTCTCGTGCTCTGAGCTCCTGGACGTTGCATGTTGCGTTTGTTTCCAGTCTCGTGGAAGCGTGACTGAAGCTGGGTTGCCCAACGGAAACACATTCTTGGCAGAAAGGAAAAGGCTCGTTTTGGTCAGCAGGGAATGTGTTTGTGAGTTCAGTTTCATGGGCAATACTGGTTTCTGAAAGGAACGAACTGGGCTGAATTCCTTTGCTCCTTCTCTCGAGCTTCCATTTTTGGTTCATCAAAGTCAAGTCTGGGAAGCGGATGAGAAAGTGTTTCTGAAGTCAAGTGCATCAGATTTAATCTCTTTGTTTGAGTACTCTTGCTTCAGAACTGATGACATTAACAGTTTGGCTGAACCTCGTGTGATGATGAGCAACTCTTTCTCCTTTTGTTGTTCTCTGTTCCAGAAATGAATGGCTGGTTAAGAAAGTAGGCTTCAGTGAAATTAAAGTATTCCCTTCAATGCAAATAAACCTAGTTCAGTTGCATGCTTAAGCACATGCTGTGTTCTTGCATGATTATACTGATGTCAGGAAAAGTCAGATCCAGAAAGGTAGAGGATATCCAGAAGTTGCTTTTGACTCTTCTGAAGGTTGTAGGGATGTAACCTACACATAAAGCCTTGATTCTCCTGCTCACATATTGCTTCTGCCCCACTGAACCAACTGCTTCTCTTACTGGGTGAGTAACCTGTCACCGACCTCCACAGTGACAAACCCAGTCATCTTTGCATCACTGCTGTGAGTTTCTTGTTGCTGTATAAGCAGAGCTAAAGATAAGAGTGGAAAGATTTAAACACTGGACTTCATAAAGCTGTTACTGTTTCTCTTGATTTCATCAACCCCAAATCTTTCTGTCCCATTACTGATACCATCAATTTCTCCTTACTTCTCATTTGAAATGGTTTCCAAGGGATTGGACATGCAAGAGGATTACATAGAACATGCCTGGAGAAGCAGGCCAGGTCTGTTTGTGAATCTTGTATAGGGAAATCATAGAATTGCAGAACAGAATCAGAAAAGACCAGGCTGGAAAAGCCCTTTAAGCTCATCCAGTCCAACCATTCCCAGCCCTGCCAAGGCCACCACTAACCCCTGGCACTGAGGCCTCGGCTCCACGGGCTGTGAACACTTGCAGGGCCGGTGCCTCCAGCCCTGCCCTGGGCAGCCTGTTCCAATGCCTGAGCACCCTCTGGGCAAGGAATTGTTCCTCAGCTCCAGCTAAACCTGCCCTGGGGCAGCTTGAGGCCGGTTCCTCTTGTGCCATCCCTTGTTCCTTGGGAGCAGAGACCAGCCCCCTCCTGGCTCCATCCTCCTGTCAGGCAGTTGCAGAGAGCGATCAGGTCCCCCCTGAGCCTTCTCTTCTCCACACTAAACCCCCAGGTCCCTCAGCCCTTCCTCATCATCGTCTCTTGATAGGAAATCTAGTGTTCATCTCTTTACATGTTACTCAGCGTGTTCAAGTCAAACTTGACCAAGTTTTCTCCATTCCTCTGTCTCTTGTCTTTATCATTGTGAATGAAAGTTCTCGGTAGATTGTTGGGGCAGAGTGATTGTATTTGGGTATCAACACATTTCAGTTCAGTGTGAAGGTGACTTCAGCTGCTGATTGTGCACTGGAACTTTCCAGTTCTGTCTGTATGCAAGGACTTGTATTGATTTTAAAGTTTTTCTCTCTCTGAATCCCTCTATAGACATCTGCAGCTGATGTAATTCTCCAGAGAGATGCCAGTATCTGTTTCTTCATGCTTTAAAGCACGTTCTGTGGTGGAAAGAGCAAGAACCACCAAATAACTGGAGCTCATTGAATTTCATGAGGAGTCAGTCTGGTTTTCCAGTTCAGAGATGGCTTATTGGTGATGATAGCATCATGGAATGGATTGGGTTGAAGGGACCTTAAAGCTCCTCCAGCTCCAACCCCTGCCCCAGGCAGGGACACCTTCCACTAGAGCAGGTTGCTCCAAGCCCCTGTGTCCAACCTGGCCTTGAACACTGCCAGGGATGGGGCAGCCACAGCTTCTCTGGGCACCCTGTGCCAGCGCCTCAGCACCCTCCCAGGGAAGAGCTTCTGCCTCAGAGCTCATCTCAGTCTCCCCTCTGGCAGGTTCAAGCCATTCCCCTTGTCCTGTCCCTACATCCCTTGTCCAAAGCCCCTCTCCAGGTTTCCTGGAGCCCCTTTAGGCCCTGGAGCTGCTCTAAGGTGTCCCCTTGAGGAGCCTTCTCTTCTCCAGCTGCCCCAGCCCAGCTCTCTCAGCCTGGCTCCAGAGGAGAGTCAGATCCAGATGAGAACATTCCACTTAATGTGGGGGAAATCTGTTTAGTTCTACAGAACACACCTCCATTCTGTCAAGAGGAAACTCCTGCCCTCACAAGAGGTGGCTGGTTTAGGATACTCTTGGCTGTGGTACATTCACAGCACTGTGTTTGTGTTAGGGCTGTGTCCTGGTTGTAGTGAACTGTAGCCTCTGGAAGCTTCCATTAACAACAGTGCTTCCTTCTTTTGGTCTAAAACTGCTGACCCATCCTGGGTTGTGCCTGTGATGGATCTCCAGAGATTCTAACTGGGAAACTAATGGATGTGAAGGCCACAGGAAGGTGAAGCCTGCACACCATGTAATGCGCTATTGACGGGCTGAGAACATTGGGGCTGTTGAGCCTGGAGGAGAGAAGCTGCTGGAGACCTCAGAGCAGCTTCAGTGTGTGAAGGGGGCTACAAGGGTGCTGGAGAGGGACCTTCATCAGGGACTGGAGTGACAGGACAAGGGAGGATGGGTTCAAACTGAGACAGGGGAAGTTCAGGTTGGATCTAGGGCAGAAGCTCTTCCCTGTGAGGGTGCTGAGGTGCTGGCACAGGGTGCCCAGAGAAGCTGTGGCTGCCCCGTCCCTGGCAGTGTTCAAGGCCAGGTTGGACACAGCCTTGGGTGACGTGGTCTGGGGTGAGGTGTCCCTGCCCATGGTAGGGGGTTGGAACTGGTTGATCTTAATTTCCTTTCCAACCCAAACTATAGTATGATTCCAAAGAGCATTGATCTCCCCTTTGGAGAAGAGGTAGCTGACCAGGGGGCTGGTTGGTTTTTCCTGTATATGTTTCACCGCATATTTCTCCTCACCCCAATGTGTTTTACGAATCTACTCTCTTCATCTGCTCCCTTTTCTCCTCCCTGCACTGGGCTGATCTCTCATATCTTTCCATTGGAAGTGTTCTGCCTTGACGTGCAGAAGGCAGTTTGGATTTGTGCTGTTGGATCTGCATTGTATGTGTATTGAGGGCTTTCATCTGTCCGCCTGGAGCAGGTCACTAGTGATAAACCTTTGTTTGAGGAAGTGGGTGAGGATGAACATCCTTTTAGTGCAGATTTAGAACTAATGGCTTGAAATGGTGATAAAAAGGTGCCTGACTTGTATTGTGAACACAAGGATAAAGATTAGCACTGGCTGGCACTGGCCTTACATTGTCACAGCAGACAGACTTTCAAAACATGGATTACTCTCAACTAGGTCTCCAAGAAGATGATTTGAATACATAAAAGCACAGGAGGGATTGAAAATGAGTATTTACTGCTTGAGGACTTTGCTGGCTCCAGCTCTGTTAACGCTGTCAGGTCACTTATTGTTGTGTGGAGTTTATTTCCCTGGTTTTCTCCGATTTCTCTCTTTCTGTGAACACTGGGGGGAAAGTTATGCTGCTTTTGTGAATGCCATGATTGATGTTGTTGCTGAGCTGGGTTTTGCCTGCTGACATGTTCCATCCTCCGTGGAAGACCGTTTGTGATGTTTGTGTGCTACACTAGAGCTAATTCTTCCCAACCTTTTCTTTTCTTTCTTCCCAGGGGATCTACAAGTATCTTGAGAGGTGCTTCTCAGACTTTAAGCAGAGAGGCTTTGTTGTTGGATATGACACACGAGGTCAGGTGACCAGCAACTGCAGCAGTAAGAAGTATGAGTATTGATTACATCTGCAAGACTAGACATTGAATTGTGCCTTTAAATGCATTCTGTTCTATCAGAGTGTCTGTGTCATCAACTACACACACTCTTTGCCCTCCCTTAGTCCATTTAAATAGTAAGGAAGAGATGCATGGACTAAAGCCTTTATAATACACCTTGTCAGCAAATGTAGAATACAAACTAGTCCCTTCACCAAAGAATCTAAATGCACAAGACCATTAGGCAGACATTAAGAAGTTGATATTCCTGGAAAGAGATTTGAATGTGAAGGTAAACTCAGAGTACTAACATCTAGCTTGAAATCACTAAACATTGGTACACTATTGGTAACACGTAACATCTGATTTAAGCTTGCTTGGGGGAGAAGAATTCTACCTGCAGCCAACCGTAACCTGGTATTTTGGTACCCTTATGTTAGTCTGTGATCCCAGTGTAGTTCCACATTGGGAATATTTTACCTGGAATGCTTAAAATGTAAACTTCCAGTGATGCCAAATTGTGCCCTTTGCAAGGTAAGGGGAGAGAGGACCTATAAAAGAGCTGCTTTCTGAATGCTGTAAGGAATCCTAATCCCCTTGCCATTACAACATGTGTTTTGCTCCCTGAATGACATTCCTCACCAAAAAGCCAACCCATTAGCTAACTATTACTTAGTTTATTATTGTAGTTACCGTGTTTAATTGTTGTAACTAATGTAGTTTGGCAATTTTTAATGCTTGTCAACACTTAATATGCCAGGGATGGAGAAGTTCTGGTATAAAAGAGCACAGAATCTAGTGACTGTCTTAGAGCTTCTCCATCCCTCTGAGCCCTGCCTCTCCATGCCTGGTCTTCAGAATGTGTGGCATGTTAGCAACCAGGCTTTGGCATAAGGGTTTTATGTGTTACACTGTGTTTGCAAGGTTATTACCCAAATCATCTGGGTTATGCACAGCTTAAAAATGTGGAAGTGTAAGAAAAACATTCCTTTTCAGCCACGCAGAGCTTGGAATTCAGACCTGATGGCAGCACAGGCATCTCGCATGTCAGGAGTGAACCTGTTCTCAACTACATGTTTCTTTTGTCCCCCTTGGGATGACACACAGTTCCAGCAGGGCTAAAATCAAACTGAACCTCCCCAGAAGAGAGTTTTCAGTTGGATCAATGTGCTTATCCAGCACTATGTGAGCAGCAGTGCTCCTTTCTTTGCATCAGCTCCAGTGCTGATGGAGATGTCACTGTCCGGCTGTATCCTGTATGAAAGCTGATGTAAGCCATTGTGATACACAAGCAAAGTGTCAGTAACTTCAACTGCAGCCTGAGCTCTCAAACTCTTTTAAGTGTTTTCAGATGATATCTGATGGGTGCTATAGTGAAATTCTGAAACTTAGGCTAAGTACACTTGTCATGGGAGATAAGGAAGCAAGTATTAATGCTTGCCTGTATGCACAAGTGAGCAAAGCAAACTTACACTGTTTAATCCTTCACTTATTTTGATTCTGAGACTTCCCATTAACTGCTGGGCTTGTATGTACCTGCCTTGAACAGAATAGTTTCCTATCAGTTACCTGGAAGAGAACACATCTCCCTGCTGCTTGAAAGCAAAAGCTTATTATAAAGGCAAAGTTTAAAACCAAAGCTGCTGTTACTGTTTCTAACCTTTTCTAGAGTAAGTGTGCTGGTTTGCAGACGTATATTTTAGGAAGACATCTCTTCATGGATATTGTCTGAAGGTGCTGAGAAAGGCTGGCAAACCACCTTTGCTGGGTGGGATGCTGAATCCTTTTCCAAACCTGCTGTTGCAGACATCTGGCACTTCAGGCTTCCTTGGAGATTGGTTCTGTCCTTGCGTGAAGGACAAATGTCACACCAAGAGGTTTTGTATCTGTGTTTTTGATATTACTGGTTTATTTATGTGGTTGACTGAAGTGCCTTGTGCTCTTCAAGCAATGGCTAAAAGCACTGACTCGGATACTACAGCCTGAAAACTGTAGTACATTGTCTCTACAAACTATAGGATACTACTCTTAGTGTAAGCTGAAAAACAATAGAGGGATTTCAGAAACAAGTGAAATGAAGGTTACACAGATGCCATGTGGCTGTTGGAGTGTTGTGGGGAGTTGGGTTGGCTGAATGCTTTCTTCTTCCTGTTGATAGACTTGCAAAGCTCACTGCTGCAGTCCTGCTGGCTAAAGATGTACCTGTGTACTTCTTCTCCACCTACGTCCCTACTCCCTTCGTGGTAAGTCATCTGCTCTGTGACACTGTGGAACCGTGCACTTAAGGGAGCGTTTGAAAGTTCACTAAAAATGCAAACCAGTGATTTTTATCAAATTCCATTATTAAAACAGAAAAATAGTCGTCTTGGTACAGAATCACCCAATGGTTGAGGCTGGGGGTCATTTAGTCCAAGCTCCCTGCTCCAGCAGTCACCCAGAGCACATTGCTCAGGGTTTATTCCTCCCCAAGGTCAGGACCATGCACTTCGCTGACTTTCAGAAGGTTCTTCTCTGCCCATCTCTCCAGCCTGTCTAGACCCTTCTGAGGGAGGCTGTGACAAGAAGGGTGCTGAATTCTCCTGCATGCATGTGGTCAATAGAATCACATTTTGCCCTGTTTTCTAACCTGCAAGCTGTTGTGTTGAGTGTGGGTCTCATTTTGAGGGGTGGACTGAAAGAACTGGGTGCTCTTTAGCAGGAAATAACCTGTCACTTGTTTTTCCACAAGCCCTTTGGTGAATTCCTTCTTTCTGTTTCAACCCGTTTTCAATACTAGTGTAATCTGAGTGGAGGCTTTTAGTTGGTCACTTAACAATTGTGTTTATGTAGTCAGTAAATGGAATAATGTTCCCATGCAACAACTTTCTCTCTATTAGCTACAGGAAAGAGAATGATGAGCATTCATGTATACAATTTCAAATGAACTGGTGAAATGTTAAGAGCCACTTCTCCTGTAGCATCCTACTGTGTAACTCTCCTAATAATATAATGATATTGTGCTATTATATCTGGAGAGCTCTTGGCTAAGTTGATGTTTCTGGGTTTCCTTTGTAGCCCTATGCTGTTCAGCAGCTCAATGCTGTGGCTGGTGTGATGATCACAGCATCCCACAACCGGAAGGAGGACAACGGGTACAAGGTGAGGCCGAACTTGAACTTTGTAGCATGTCACAGCCAGGTGCTCTCCTGTACTACCTACATCCATTTGACATTTGGCTTAGCACAGAATCCCAGCCTGGTTTGGGTTGGAGGGACCTTAAGGCTCCTCCAGTCCCAACCCCTGCCCCAGGCAGGGACACCTTCCACTAGAGCAGGTTGCTCCAAGCCCCTGTGTCCAACCTGGCCTTGAACACTGCCAGGGATGGGGCAGCCACAGTTTCTCTGGGCACCCTGTGCCAGCGCCTCAGCACCCTCATAGTAAAAGGTTTCTGGAGCACACGTGTGAGCACCTTAAAAGGAGAAATGATTTCAAGTAATTCGTCTTTAACCTGAGTTACACACGCTTTCTTCTGTGAATAGAACTTAAGACCACACTGCTGGTGTATCTTGAGCACAAGCCTCGTGTGACATTCCAATGAGCCAAATCAGCAGCTGAAGGAATGCTTAAACAATTTGTTATGTGTTCACTTATTAGACTTAAAATGAGTTTAAAACTAAGCTGGAATTTAGGTGAATTAGTCCATGCAGTAGGTGACTGTGCTGAAGATGGTGACTATTTGAGACTGTGTTGGTCCCTCTAAGGTGGTTTTTCTGGGCATTGAGGGGAAGGTGGGTGGCTTCATTTTGAAAGCTTGGAGCACTATAACCATCCATAATAGTAAAAGCTGCTTATGCAGTATTGTACCACAGTATTTCTTTTCCAGACTTTGTATGAAGCTGAACTAAACTGTAAGCTTTATATCTAAACTTAGCCTTTTAAAAGCTCAGTAACGGGTCAGTGAGTAATGGCAGTGATACTAAAACCAGCCTTTCTCTGCACACAGATAACCCTTGGAGGTGATTGTACTGCACTTACCCTCTGTAGAACAAGTTGTAAAGTGCTTCACCAGCCTTTACTTTGCTGAGCTGTAGGAGAATGAAGAAGAAAATGAGCCACATTGATTTTTCTAGGTGCTTCATTTATCAAGAAGCTCTTAGGTTTGTGTCTCTGATAAAAGCCAGCCAGGATATTGGGTTTTGTCCTAGCTTCTCACAAGAATTGTTTTATATTTCACTATTTCCCTTATGAATCCAGCATTTTCTGAAGGCTTTGGACGATTTTAACCAGACTTGACCAACCCATAGTTTTGAAGATACTGAGTACCTGTGGGGTTTTGTGACAGCAAAGAGAGACAGATTGATCTGCACTGTGAACTCAACCATGCTATTGGCAAGCAGCTGTGGGAAAACTGGCATCTAAATCATTCTTTAACAAAGACTTTTCATAGTTCAGGGTTTCAGTGTTTCCAGCTGAAAGATTCCAGTTGTTCAGTTACAGAAAACCATGTACCTTGGCACACTGCTTATCTGCTTGGCTTTGATTTCAAAACCAAGTTGTGTCTCTTCACAAAAGGGATGCCAGACGATGAGGAAGGTAATGGATTGTTTCTGATACAGTTTGCACAACACTCTGCAGTGTAAGTGCCCAGTTTTGGTTTCTCATGTCCTCATGATTTCAGTCATAATAGTTGAACACCAGCTTTTTGGAAAGCAGGTTGTGTTGTTGCACAACTGAAAGACTAAACCACATGGCTTTGGAGAATCAAGCCAGTCTGATGTTACCCTTTCCTATCTGACTCCAAGGAGCTGGAAGGATGCAGAATCCCGTGGCTAAAAAAATTTCTCAAGTTATGAATATTTGTGAATAAACTGTCTTGTTTTCCTTAAACTTCCACCAGGTTTACTGGGAAAATGGAGCACAGATCACCTCTCCTCATGATAAGGAAATCATCAAGTGCATAGAAGAGTGTGTTGAACCATGGAATGGCTCTTGGAATGAGAATCTAGTAGATACCAGTCCCCTTAGACAGGATCCTCTGAAGAAAATCTGTGACTGTTACATGGAGGACCTGAAAAAGATCTGTTATCACAGGTATTGGATAACCCAAAATGTACTTAAATGATGGGTTTAAGGGAGCTTTGGGTTACATGTGGGAAACTGACTTCAGTAATAAAGCATGCAGTACTGCCATACTGACACATGGTTGATTTGGGTAGAGGGATTGGGCTGTCTTCCCAAACTGGGATAGTTTCAGACCTGCTTGTAGTGATTTTTACTGTCACAAACCCGTGACTTCGCGTGTCTTTGTGGTTCACAGAAGCTGGGTGCGCCACTGCCATAAACATCACTGTCTGCTTGAGGCTGTTGCTCTTTGTGGTGGGGATAATTCTTGGTCATCTCCGCGTTCTGTCGTACCCCATCCCTACTCCGATGTGGCATTAAATTAGGTGGTCACCAACATTAGGCCTAAACTATACTTCTTGCCAATAAAGTAGCCTACTTTTGGGCACTAAGCTACAGTAATGCACCCTGGTGTGAACCATTTGATGTAAATGAACATGCTCAAAGAGTTCTGAATAAAATGCAGAAATACAAGATAAAGGTGAAGTTGTGAAAGAGAATTCTTTGCCTTTAGTTTCCCACAGCAGAATATCAGATGTCTGATACTTAGAAAAATCATTCAATAACTGAGTGGTGCAGGAATAGGAGCAGCTTGAGCTGGGTGTCTCCAGGGAGGGATCCAAAGAAAGAAGTTCATCCATCATTGGGTTCATTCCTTGTCTTTAAGTGGGCTGTAAATGTTGTCTTACCTCTGTTGCTCCTCGCTAATGGATGCAACTCCTTTATCTTCCAGTTTGCTCTGGTCTCAAGGCCTTCCTTGACATAACTAGGCACAGGTTGTAAATTAAGTTCAGCTTTAGGTGGAAGTTAGCTGCTTGTAGCCTAAGGCTCCAGCAACTTCAGCTTCCCATTACTACTCATGCTAAGCAAGACCACCCAGCCAAAAGAACTCAGTTAAAGGAGTTCAGCTAACTAAATGTAATTCACAAGGTGTACATGTGTGGAATAGAGGCGAGAAGATAAGTGTAAAGGTTGGCCAGGGCAGAAGAGGAGTATAAAAGGAGGATAACAAATAAAGTAGGTAGAGTGGAGCCAGAGTAAGATCTTCAGGCTGGTGGATGAACTGGAGTTCGATGCAGAAATCAACAGTTCATTCTTGGGAGACTTTCAGCTGATTCAGCAGAAGGTGAATATCTCATTTTCCAGAGAAGGAAGCTTTAAACCAGCAATTTCTAGTGAAGCTCCAAATGAGCACTTTTTCCTTGCTTCTCCTCTGAAATTAATGCAGAAATCAGCAGAACAGTACAAAGTGTAACTGCATTTCTTTTGCTTTCCCACATGAAAGGAATCTTGTCAAATAACTAAAATCTTCCTGAAACTCTTTTTTTCCTCCTCAGGGAGCTGAATGTGCAAACAACTCTGAAGTTTGTTCATACCTCTTTTCATGGAGTTGGACATGACTATGTGCAGTTGGCTTTCAAAGCATTTGGCTTCCAGCCTCCCATTCCAGTACCTGAACAAAAAGATCCAGATCCAGACTTCTCCACTGTCAAATGCCCAAATCCTGAAGAGGGGGAATCTGTGCTGGTATTTTTGTTTCTCTTTCATCAGATTTCTATGGGTTTTTCTCTGTTTGGCTATGACAGTGTTGAAAAACAAATCAGGGAAGGGAAGAGAACAGGGAGTACCTGGCTTTCAGGTAATAGAGTGGGCAATCCATGTGGGATTATATATGCATGTCATATCTAAGTAGGAAGACTGGGTTTATTTGCTCTTGTGATTTTATTCTTCCCCCCGCCCCTTCTTCTCCCACCAGGAGTTGTCACTGAGGCTTGCAGAGAAAGAAAGTGCCAAAGTAGTAGTGGCCACTGATCCAGATGCAGACAGACTAGCGGTGGCAGAACAGCAGGAGAAGTAAGTGATGGGACCCTTTGTTTTGTCTCTGTCTGCAGAAGAGGTAGTGAAAAATCATGGAATGTTACAGAATCATGGAATGGTTGGGGTTGAAGGGACCTTAAAGCTCATCCAGCTCCAAGCCCCTGCCCTGGGCAGGGACACCTTCCACTAGAGCAGGTTGCTCCAAGCCCCTGTGTCCAACCTGGCCTTGAACACTGCCAGGGATGGGGCAGCCACAAGATCAGTTCACAAAATCTATTCATGTTACAGTAAATAGCCAAATAAAACTAAACTGGGAAGTTGAGTGGTTACTAACGATGGCAAAATTTTCTTGTTAACTGTATTTTCACTTCTATTAGGCAGACATTCTGCCTTGGGACTGTACCTATTGGGGGTTTTATGTTTCTTTGTTTTTTCCCCTGCCTGCTTCATATTCAATGGAAACTATTTTTCTTCCACTAACAGGCCAAAATTCTGATCATTGTGTAAGTAGCTGTCTGCAACACACCTGACTGCAGTGTGTAGAACCATAGAATGGGTTGGAAGGGACCTCAAAGCTCTTCCAGCTCCAACCCCTGCCCCGGGCAGGGACCCCTTCCACTAGAGCAGGTTGCTCCAAGCCCCTGTGTCCAACCTGGCCTTGAACACTGCCAGGGATGGGGCAGCCACAGCTTCTCTGGGCACCCTGTGCCAGCGCCTCAGCACCCTCTCAGGGAAGAGCTTCTGCCTCAGAGCTCATCTCAGTCTCCCCTTTGGCAGGTCCAAGCCATTCATTCCCCTTCGCCTATCAAGTATAGACTGTATAGACTGCTATACTCCTGTTTGGTAAGCTAAAAAGGTCTAAGCTGTACTATAGCTGACAGTAAGGATACTTATTTGGTATCTTTACTTGCTAACAGAATGCACTGGGCTTGTACACCATAGAGATGTGAGAAATGTGAAGTCCTGTTATCATGGTGGCTTTGTGTAGAGCAGCTTGTCAGTAGTGCACTCAGATCCCTGTTCCAGTGCCTGCAGAAACATCTCCCACTGCGTGGGTGCTCCTGGGAACCCTTGAATGAGCTCTAACACTTACATCCTGTCTGCAGTGGGTGCTGGAAGGTGTTCACTGGCAATGAACTAGCAGCTTTGTTTGGGTGGTGGATGTTTTCATGCTGGAAAGAAAACTGCTCTGAAGATGCTGATGTGAAGAACGTTTACATGCTGGCGACCACAGTCTCCTCAAAGATTTTGAGGGCAATTGCACTTAAAGAAGGATTTCACTTTGAAGTAAGTGTGGGGTTCATGATGTCCTCTTAGCAGAGTAAAATCTCGTTGTGTTCTCCATCTAGCTCCCTCCTCTTAGGACTTTATGACATGGAGAAATAGATGGCTTCCAGTCTTTTGGCTGGGAGTTTTTATGCATTCCAGTGTTTAAAAGAATGCTGTTTTACCTGAACAAGCCTGATTTCCACATAGAATCATAGAATGGTTTGGATTGGAAAGGATCATGTAGTTCCAAACCTTCTTCCATGGGCAGGGACACCTCACTCTAGACCATGTCACCCAAGGCTCTGTCCAGCCTGGCCTTGAACACTGCCAGGGCTGGAGCGTTTCCCACGTGTGCAGCATCTCTCGGTGCACATTACAGTGAACGCAGACTGGGGGATTTAAGGACATTTTTCTGATTTTCTTGAAAGATCTTCCTTGAATTTAAATCAAATTAACTCACCAACTTACCTGCAAGGAGGCTGTAAAAGGTGACACAAGTTAAACGCTAACATACGTAAAATGGGAATACCTTTGGGTGTTTTCCTGGAGGTAAGTTTCTCTGTGCAAGAGGATGAAGTTGTGCAACTAAACGTGTTTCCCACAAAACCAGGATGTTTTTTGGTGGGTTTGTAGCAAGCACTTGGAGGTTACACCATGTTCTTCCAGGTGCCCAGCTCACAAGTAGGTTTTCCTTCAGATTGTGAGAGACAAAGAAACTCTTTTGTTCAGGGCTTTAATGTAGTTTCATGAAGGACTTGCTAAAAGCAAATGGGGGTGTCCCCGCAGACTGACAGTTAGTATTTTACTTCCTGCATTCAAATTAAGTACTTGCTCTGATATCTGAGATTCAAAAGAGACTCAAGTGCTCTAAAGCTTAGCACAAACACGCAAAGATCCAGGGCTTGTTTTTAATACGTGTCTAAATTAAATCCATGTGCAGTAAGGAATAATACTTTGCCAAACAATGAGGAACTAAGAACTAAAACAAAAGCGACTGTGAAATCCATTTTGAGTGACTGGCCAGATATGCTCAGTTACAGAATCACAGAGTGGTTTCTGTTAGAAGGGACCTTAAAGCTCCTCCAGTCCCAACCCCTGCCCCGGGCAGGGACACCTTCCACGAGAGCAGGTTGCTCCAAGCCCCTGTGTCCAACCTGCCCTTGAACACTGCCAGGGATGGGGCAGCCACAGCTCCTCTGGGCACCCTGTGCCAGCGCCTCAGCGCCCTCACAGGGAAGAACTATTAATATTCAGTAAGTTGGATATTGCTGCATTATCTCCCTAAATACTGTTCTTTTTCTGGAAAGGGAAGCTTTGATAGAAAGGCAAGGAATTGACAAAACTGCTTGGTCTCTAAATCCTTCCCCTCTTGGACCTTCCTTCCCTCCAAGAAGGACTGTGTCCAAGATTCTGACTGTTCTGCAGGATTTGAGAGCACAAGCAGTGCTGTTCCCTCCACCACCCCACACTGCTGTTTGTATTTTTATGACTTCTCCTTTTGAGTACCTTTGTGCTGTTGTCTCTTGGTAACCACCATGGAAGATCATGTCTGGTTGAATCATGTCTGATTCAGGTTGAACCATGGTCTCTCAAGCACAGTTACTCCTTGATTTGATACTCATGTCCTAGTTGAATATTCCCTAGTAAAATGTTACCCAGTGACTGTTTGCCTTAGGTTCATCATCTAAACTGAAGAGATGTTTTTCCCCCTTTCTCCTTGATGTCTTTCCCCCTTTTGTCTGAAGCAGCCCAGAAGTGATGGGAATAGTAGATACACTTTCTTCTTTAACTTGGAACTAAATTGAAATTGTGTATTTAATTTCCTGTTTCAGGAAACACTCCCTGGATTTAAATGGATTGGAAGTAGAGTGAAGAATCTCCTAGACAATGGAAAAGAAGTTCTCTTTGCATTTGAAGAGTCTATTGGTAAGTATGTTAATATAACTTGGGAAGGTTGAGAAGTCTGGGGGTAAATGTGGCTAAAAAGGAGTGGTCTTAGTTATGAAACAAATCAAAAGCACTTTATTTCTGTTCTTGTAGTTACTTGTATTGATATTTTGCTCTCATCAAATCAACTTGCCAACTCTCCTAATAAATGATAGACGAATCTCTGATTTTGGCATCATGCTTGTCTGTTTCCTGACACAAACCCCGTCTGATACAGCTTGAAAGTCCTGAGATGCCAAAGCCAAACTGCTGTGGAGAACTGTGTAGTGAACATTTTGGCTATAGAATTCTCCACTTCTTAGGATAAATGGCAGCTTTCTGGGGCAGCATGTTCACATACAATAAGGTATTTGAAAATGAATCCCAGCCTGGTTTGGGTTAGAAGGAACCTTAAAGCTCATCTAGTTCCAAGCCCCTGCCCTGGGCAGGGACACCTTCCACTAGAGCAGGTTGCTCCAAGCCCCTGTGTCCAACCTGGCCTTGAACACTGCCAGGGATGGGGCAGCCACAGCTTCTCTGGGCACCCTGTGCCAGCGCCTCAGCACCCTCCCAGGGAAGAGCTTCTGCCTCAGAGCTCATCTCAGTCTCCCCTCTGGCAGGTTCAAGCCATTCCCCTTGGCCTGTCCCCACAGGTCCTTGTCCAAAGCCCCTCTCCAGCTTTCCTGTCATCTCCTTTAGGCACTGGAAGGCTGAAGCAGACACTGAACACAGTTTGTGTTCATGCCAGTTTCTTTCATAAAATTAAAGCAGCTTTTAACCAGAAGGAGTTAAGATCTTGCTTATGCATCCCTTCACCAAGAAAGCATCCTGGCAGTTGTGAGGAGCACTGGTTTGGGGGTTACCAGGCTGTATCTCTTGATTGATTCAAATTACTGACAAGACTCTTTGCAGTATTGATGTGCTTGCACAGAACAAGCAGGTTTTTGTGGTTAGCACTGCACTATGAGAGCTCTCCTCAGACAGCAGATGTTATTGATCTGGAATGAATTGATTACAGCACATACCTTTCCAGTCCTGCAATCCTAAATTAATTTAGCTTTCTTAGACAAGGGGAATGCATATGCAGTCATGAAACCAGCTTATGTGTATTGGCCAGTATTCTTGTACAGGAAGAAAGTTAAAAAGCCGATCAAGTAAATCAGTGTAGTTGTATCTCAGGTTACTTTTCTCATGATCAACTGTTATTTATAGGCTTCATGTGTGGCACATCAGTGTTGGATAAAGATGGTGTAAGCGCGGCTGTGGTCATAGCTGAGATGGCAACCTACCTGGAGGGCAAGAACCTCACACTGGCACAGAAACTCACTGAGATATATGAAACGTAAGTTGTACTTCCCATTAGCATGTCCCACTTCACTGTTTCGGAGCTGGGAATAACCTAATGAATCTTTATAATGCACCTCTCAGCTGTTTTCTCATTGCAAGATGGTTTTTCTGAGGCTATGATGAACTACTGCCTTCAGTGTTACAGCTACTTACTTCAGTACCCTATCTCCCAAAGGACTAGAGAGGCCTTTTCTGTTGTGAAAGAAATTTGCATATAGGTCCACCAAGGCAAACTTCTCTCTCATTAGATTCACACCACGTCACTTCTGTTATCTTCTGATGTGTAGCTGTATTTTAGTTGTGGTCTGAGTGCCTCTCTTGAAACACTATTTAGACTTAAACACAGTCTGGGGATTGTTACGTGCTGCTCTTGCAGAGATTTGCGATAGAACAGAGGTGAAAGGAATGGCCTATGTTCAATAGCTACAGGCACAGTTCACAGCAACAAAATGAGTAGCATATTTATGTCAGAATTAAGTCATTTCCTGTCACAAACCCTGTTCAGCAGCAGAGGTTCCTGTGCTCTAACAGAACTGGCAGCACAGTTACAGCAAATCATAGAATCCCAGAGTGGTTTGGGTTGAAGGGACCTTAAAGCTCCTCCAGCTCCAACCCCTGCCCCGGGCAGGGACACCTTCCACTAGAGCAGGTTGCTCCAAGCCCCTGTGTCCGACCTGGCCTTGAACACTGCCAGGGATGGGGCAGCCACATCTTCTCTGGGCACCCTGTGCCAGCGCCTCAGCACCCTCACAGAGAAGAGCTTCTGCCTTAGATCCAACCTGAACTTCCCCTGGTTCAGTTTAACCCTGTTACCTTGTCCTATTTCTTTGTGGTACTTGGGAATTCACTCTCATATGCAGACTGCAGCAAAACCAGTTCCCCACAGCTGGATTGAAAAGCCTTCAATGACAGTGATAGCAGAAGGGTTCATCTTCCAGTCCACTTAACTTTTTAAGCTGCAGAGAAGGGTCTGTGTAGAATGAGGAGTGGGTGAAATATAATGAAGAACACCTTAAATTTCAACATGCGAATGTGATGGTTGCACCTGGTGAGTGCTTGCATTGGGCCTGATTGGGGGTGGTAGTTTCACCTTGGATGGAATAATCCATCACCTCCCTCAGAGGCTATTAAAATAATCTGTTGTTATGGCTGTGGCAGACAAGTTTTGATGACGCTGGTGAGGGAATGATGCTGGGTATTAATCTCCTGAGGGCTACCAAGCCAAATGACTGCCTTCTATTTCTTTGGGTTTTATTTCTCTGGAACTCAGACCTTTACTTGAATTTATGAAATAGCTGAAGATGATCTGAGTAATGCAGCAAATTCTGCTTCAGAGTCCAAACCTTCACCCATAAATACTGCTTCCATGGCTGTGACAACTGCAGTCTTTTTCTCCTATCGCTTTTCCACGCAGCAGCTTTAGTTACCAAATGTGCACAAAACTGAATCTTGTCACTGAAAATGCTCATCTGCTTGTAGGTACGGCTACCACATATCAAAGACTTCCTATTTCTTGTGCTATGACCCTCCTACTATCAAAAGGATATTTGAGAAACTTCGGAACTTTGATGCTCCTCAGTCTTATCCCAAACTTTGTGGCATTTACAGTATCTTACATGTACGAGATGTCACCACGGGCTATGACAGCAGCCAGCCAAATAAGATATCGGTGAGTTATGAAGGACTTCTGCAGGAGAAGTTCTGTTCTTGAAGAAACTCGGAGGTAAATACACCGAGAACTGTGCAGAAAGGTGCACTGTGTCAACTAAGATGGAAGTATAATTGCTATCATGTATTGAAACTGCTTAAAAACATTTACTGGCGAGAAAACTGCTTAACCATGAAATGGTTTAGTTTAAGTAGAATCATAGAATGGTTTGGGTTGGAAGGGGCCTTAAGATCATCCAGTTCCACCCCCTGCCATGGGCAGGGACGCCTCACACTAGACCATGTCACCCAGGGCTCTGTCCAACCTGGCCTTGAACTTTTAAGTATTATAACAAAACAAGTATTGACTTACTTTCAAATAGCAATGAATTGATTTTTATTAGTTGAAGTGAGCTTGATGTTCCTGCAACTCTGAAGCTGTCTGGCAGGCTTCCAGATGTTGGAATTCCAATAGGAGCAAGAGGCAGTTCTGTTATCCCGAAATACTGAGTCTCATCAGACTGAAATGACTTGTTCTTGTCTTGCATTGGCTGGTGATTCATGCAGGAGGGGCTTCCAGCATGTCTGTTTAGCTGTGTGTGTACTACACGTTGTAGTTAGAAACAAGCCAAACAAAACCCCCACTTTTGTATAAGTTGGGGTGTTGTGTAACAAGATGTTGTTGGTTTTGTAGGTGCTGCCAGTGAGTAAAAGCAGTCAGATGATCACTTTTACCTTCCAAAATGGTTGTGTTGCCACCCTTCGGACAAGTGGGACAGAACCAAAGATCAAGTACTACGCAGAGATGTGTGCACTGCCTGAGCAGAGGTAAGCAGAGGGCTGCATGCACACACTGCAGCCTGCTTTGGGGATGAAAGTCAGTAGGAAGGAATCGATTCCCTGCCTGGTGGGTGATTCCTCTGCTGCCTCCTTGGAGACCTGAGTCTCAGCTGCCTGTTCCAGCCTGTTAAACTCCCATTC